AGTGTTACAACAGCAATTACCAGGCCTTTGGCACCCTTTATAGGCGTTTGTAATAATATGTGATGTACATAAATGGTTTATTTTGCAGGCTATTACATTATGTATTTTAACAGTGTTATTCAATAAAACCATACGATTATTATTAATTAATCATTATTGCCTCATTGTTTTTATATAATGCATTTTATGTCATTTTAAAGGTTGTTTCTCGCTTAGGTCTGTTTTTTTTTACCACAAAAAATATTATCTGAATACTTCGTAAATTATTATTTGAAGCGATTTGAAGTATCAAAACCATGGTTAATTTCTGGGTACCACTGCTACAAGAACCATGTGTTTTTTTTGTTGTTGTAAAATTATGGTTCATTTTCGTAAGGGAACATGGAAAGTCTGAGGGAATATTAAGGCAGATGCGGCGGTGATATTATTACCGACATTAAAACACGTTATTAATGTCAACATCCAAAAAAAGTTTCACAGGATTATGAACGTACCTAAAAGTGATGCACGTGTGCTTCGCCTGTCTACTGCGTTCACCTTAAAAAATTATGTTAATATATGTTCGTATTTATTTTTTTATTTATGTACTGTATATGTATGTATATGTTAATATTAATATAGAACAAAATCTTTTTTTTTTTAGCAACTGGTACCCCCCTGGGAGTTGGTGCCCTACGCAAACTGCGTACTCTGCGTATAGGGAGCAGTGGTACTGTATTATACTTTCAAGAAAGCATTTGCATTGGGTTTGTGAGAAGCAGTTTTTATGCATGTTTTAGCCTGAGCCTTTGTTGCATTTACACAGTTTTGACCAGCAGGAGTCGCAGCGTGTGGTGTTTCGAGCGCTTCGAAACAGTGAATCATTTTGCGAAGCAATTGGTTCAGTTGAGTCGAAGCTTTGAAAAGGTTCGTTTCTCCCATCACTAGCTGGAGGTTAATTATTGACATTAACGAGCTCAATGAATTCCTCCAATTAAGAGTGTTTAAATATCGCTGCCATCTGTGCAGCTGATTGGGAGTGGCTGTAGAGCAGTGAAGAGCTGTAGGCTTGGTGAAGTTCTGCAGGTTTTCTGAAAGAGGCATTTGATTTGTTTGTAGTCTTGGGTGATCACTCTTCATGGCTATGAAGGAGTTTTGTGTTTGGAAAGGGCTCATTTTAGTCCTTTTTCTCTTTGCTGTTGATGGACAGACATCAGGCCCGTGAGTAAATGTGTGAAAAGTGGAAAAATAAAATGTCAATCTTTCTGTTTTAAAATGATTCCTCAAAGTTTGTTTTTAGTCCCTATATTATGGAAACTACCTCTGTGATTATACACCTGCATGAATGTGTGCTGATCTGACTTACAATTTTTATTTTCTAATACTAGAAGTCTGTCTGATGTTTCCACAGATCCTTCTTGGTGACGTTTTCTGCAGTGATCGAGTCCCCTTACGACGTTTTCAAGGTTGGATGTTTGCAGTTGTTTAGTGGCTGAATACTGGTTGACTTTTCAAATGCATCTTTTGCTTTGCTTTGACAGAGTGTGGGGATGAAGGTCGCAACAAATCTCGCCGTCCAAGAACCTAACTGCCTGACGTACAAAGGCCGCCTGTATTACTATAGCAACTTCCGTCACGGTATGTCTTTTAGGTTCTTGATCTAAATATCTGTACTTTTTAAAGGTTTGTCAAAGGTTTGCTGGGTAATGGACGATGTAGGTTTTTTTTTTTTTATTTTATTTTTTTTACTGAAAGTGGAAATCCAGTAGCACAACTACTGCTTAAATGGTGGTTTTCTTCCAGACTTGTTGCATCCAAATGCAAGTTGTGCTAAACCTGCTTGTTCTAATAGGGATGCACCGACATCAAAATTCTGGGCCAAACCAGAATTCTGGATGCACTTGTCTGAAAACCAAAACCGCTTTTGGATTTTTAGATGTACAGTAATTGAGACTTTCGTTAATGAGACCGTTTTAAAAAGCAAAGGAAATAACCACACTTACTGGAAGTAAAACAAACTGGGCCAAAGAAATTTTAAAGGTGTGCTCGTTCAAAAAGTTGGTCAGTCCTCGGTGTGCTGATTTTAGCAGGTCTCGTGTTGCAAGTTCAATGATGCAGGTAGTGACTATTCTCTCTGGCCAATCGGTGATCAGCAGGGTTTACAGCAGTGTGATGTCTTACGCTTATAATGAATGGACAACCTCGATTGTTGCAGTCCTGGTATTAAGCAGAATAAGAGCAGCGCGCTATCACTAAAAGCTGACTTCTCAGTTAATCGCGATCTCATAAAGCGGTTATATCACATTAAATATATGCACGATGAATCTTTCAGTGTCTACACTTCGTGTGTTAAAATGATAGGATTTGTGAGCACGCAATTTCAGCACTGCAGTGAGTAGGTTCTAACTTGATCACCTCTGATTGGCCATTGCGTTCCAGAAATCAACAGCTGAGTCTGTGATTGGCTACATTGCGCAACCTTTTAAACGTGTTATAAATAGAAACTACGGCTAGCTTGCGCATGTCAATCATTTTAATGTTAATATTAGTTCTTTTTGCTTTTGTGCAACAGATAAATAACAATTTGTTTTAAGTGCTTTTAGATTTCTATTTTGCGGGAGTCCCGCGACTCGTTTTATTCTCCGCCACACACGAGTCTCTTCCCGCCTGCACCCGCACTCGCCCATCAAGAGTTGTCCCGCGCCGCACCCTGTTACGTTGGGTCCCGCGGTCCTCCCGCAGGAGTGCAGGCCTCTACCCTGAAGGACTTGATTAGCTGGATCAGGTGTGTTTGGAGTTGAATATGAACTCTGCTGGGCTGTGGTCCTCCAGGAACTGAGTTTGACATCACTGATCTAAAGCCACTTGGCCTCAATTTGTTTACCTCTCCTGTCCCCTCATTTATGTCTTCCGGTGTCCTTGTTTCTTCAGAAACACTGGATCCACACGAGTTACTCTGAAGGTACCTGACACAATCACCACATGGGAGACTGAGGTGTTCTGCCTGTCAAGTCAAGTCAAGTCACCTTTATTTATATAGCGCTTTTAACAATACAGATTGTCAAAGCAACTGAACAGCATTAATTAGGAAAATAGAGTGTCAATAATGCAAAATGACAATAGTAAACACAAATTATCGGTGACAGAAATGCCTGTCCTCCAGAGGTTTCGGTTTGGCTCCTCCTGTTCAGCTGATTGTCTTCCATCTTCCAACCCTGGAGCTCTCTCTGCCTTACTCCATCATCCGTGGAGAGTCTTTTGAGCTGAAGGCCACAGTCTTCAACTATCTGTCCAAGTGCATCATGGTCTGGATTCATATTTATTAGTGTAATAGGTGTTTGTGTAATATCTAATTCTGTTAGAGGTGTGCAAGCTGATGGTGTCACCTTGCTCTGAGCTTTCACAGTAAGATGTAGCCTATTGTAACTGTTAGCATTAGCAATGTAAAATACAGGGCCACCTTGCATGAGTTTTGTATTCTATCAAAATTAAGCAATCTCTCATGTGCAAGAATGATTTCAGTGAGTCTTTATTTCTGTCACTGTTATCAACTGACAACCACACTAAATATGGAAAACTTCAGTAAACAGCCGTCCCTGACAGGCCTAAACCAGCTAAGTTACTAGCGCAAAAACTCCATCCCAGAAAATGAAGCATGTCAATATCACACACCCTAAATGGATCAGTAGAGGAAAATAGTCTTGTCTTTACTGAATGTGCACTAATGTAATTCATTGGCAGGTTAAAGTGACTCCAGCTTCTTCCTTGGACGTCAGTCTTAGACCTTTCAATGAGCTGTATTCATCCTGTCTCTGTGCCAATGGGAGAAAGACCTTTTAAATGGATTCTCTCAGCTTCTGTTCTCTGTCTGTTTTGCTCTGTCCGTTTCTAAATTGAGGCGTATGAGAGTTGTTGCTCACTTCCTGTCTGTACTGTAGGATCTGTAAATGTGACTGTCAGCGCTCAGGCTGAACAATCCCAGGTTCGATGTGGCACTGAAGTTGTGACTGTGCCGGTGAGAGGACGCATTGACGTAGTTACTCAGTGTCTTCTTGTTCTGGTAAGCGTTAACCAGCTTTCTGGAGTTTGCTCATGGAGCTCATGATGCTTTACTGATGTGGTGTTTTATTTTTTATTTTTTTTTATAGCCTGAGGGAGTTGAAAGGATCTTCACCCAGAGTTGGTTATTGTGTCCAAAGGGTTTGTTTGCACTCAGTGACTTTCTAAATGCGTTCTCCCTGTACCAGTAAAGTGTAACCTAGCGCTCCGAGCTGATCCGTTCTGTTTGGTCCACAGGAAGTGTCATTTCAGAAGAATCATCTCTGACGTTTCCAACAAATGTGATCCAGGGATCAACCAAATGCTCAGTTTCAGTCCTTGGTAAAGCATTTCATTAAGGGGAAACTGACACGGCGACGTTCAGCTAAATAACTTTGGTTTCTGATGGCTTTTTGGTTTGACCTCATTTTCTTCCTCTCTTAGGGGACATAATGGGTCGTGCGCTAAAGAATCTTGATAACTAATTACAGATGCCATCTGGCTGTGGAGAACAAAATCTGATCATTCTTGCTCCCAATATTTACATCCTACAGTACCTGGAGGTCACTGCGCAGCTCACCCCAACCATCCGACAGACTGCCATTGGTTACCTTCAGAGCGGTACAGATTGCCGAATCCTACAAGTAAAGTGCATCATGTGGTGTAATGTGATTCCTGACAAGTTTATTTTTTATTTTTTTGGACTTGAACAGGATACCAAGGACAACTGAACTACAGGCACAGTGATGGTTCATACAGCACGTTTGGTTACGGTGCATCCAATACATGGTGTGTTTTCATGCTGTTCTTGTATTGTGCGTCATTGAATTGGGTTGTAATGAGACTTTTCATGGCCAGGTTGACCACCTTCGTCATGAGGTCTTTTGGCCTAGCAAGG